TGTTGCTAAAAGATACACACATACATCTAATGAACTGAGAAGTTTTCAAGACTGCTTAACAGTGTGCTATCTTTGAGGACAAACTTTGGTTAAGTTATGGGTTTCAGAAGGGTTGGGGAAGTACAAAGTGGAGAGAATAGTTTATCCTGAGTACAGTCATAAAATGAGAATCCCTGATCAAAATAAACAAGAGTCCAAAACATTAAATAAAATGAACAAAGTATAATGACAGAATGTAAAACGAATCAGGACTAGTGGTAGAGGTGATATCTTTTATTAAACAAGCAAGATTTTTTGCAAAAAACCCCACAAACATTAATCTAGTTGGTCTAATACAAGATATAACTTCTACCATGAGTTCCAATTCTTTTTGCCTCTAGACCAATATGGCTACAACCAGGATAAATGATAGAATGTGAAATTCAATGCTGCATGGAAGTTTGAAAGGAGACACCACATGCTGTCAGAACATATTTAATCAAAGGAAAACTTTCAAGTATTTGACACAAACAGTGATTTCCAGAAAATTTTAAAGCATAATTTAAATGCCTCTGCTAGTAGCTATCTAATTAATCCTAAACCGAATGTTTAATACTTTATAGTTACCTTATTTTTAAGACATTTTTCTTTCATCTCTACAACCAAGATCTCTGCTGCCACCACAAGGATGCAGAGGACACAGCAATGCCTTTACTTTTGTTGTTCTAAATAAAACAATCTTATAAAAGATTAAATACTAGTGTTTTACTATAGTTTGTCTGTTTATAGAATCATAAGCAAGCCTGGAAGGGATCTCAAAAGGTCATCTGGTCCAACTCCCTGCTCAAGACAGGATCATCCCTGTTTAAATCATGTAAGAATCATCATGCGTCTCACCTGCTCTTAAAAACATCCAAGGAAGTAAATTCCACTACTTCTCCAGGTATTTGGTTGCAATTCTTAACCAACCTCATATTGAGAAAGTTCTAAAATCCAACTTAAATTTCCCTTTTTGCAATTTAAGATTTGTTCTATGCAGTCTGAGAGAATAGTCTAATATCCATTTTCTTTATAACCATGCTTCAGGCATTTTAAACACTGTTATCAACAGGGATCCTGGTTTTCTCTGATTAACAATTGCAAATTCTCTGATTAAAAACCCAAAATCCGTGCACGCTGCACTCCCCCACAACAGTCTCAACAGCCCTCCTGATGCCCCTCACAACAGCCCCCCAGACACGTAGGCACAGACATGCACACAAAGGCACATACAGATACTGACACCCACCCCAGCAGGTAAGTGTGTGTGGGGGGGAAGGCGCAGGGCAGATCAATTAGGGGGGAGCACACCCCTGTGCCCACTCCCAGGAGCAAGGCCAGGGGGTGAGGGCAGGGCTGCCACTCTGTGGGCCCCACATACACTGGCCAGCTTGACAGGGGGTTCACACACAGAGGCTGCCACCGTAACTCTGCCACTGCACCCTGCACCACCATCCCATGGCCAACCACACGGCTTTGTGGACAAGTCGCACAGGATGCGGCAGCAGCAGTGCGGTGGCAACCACTGTGTGTGGGCCACATGTGCGCCATCCAGCCAGGAGGTGTAAAGGGGGGCTTACATGCAGCGGCCGCCACTTCACCACTGCTTATGCCTCGTGACTGGCTGCATGGCTGCACAGTGGTGCGGGGTGGTGATGGCTGCGTGCTGGCTGGAGGGGCTACGCGGGCAAGCGCTGCCACTGTAGAGCCATGCCCTTCGTCCCTGGATCCTAGAGGTAAGTGGGACTTGGGGGCTGTGGGGCAGGGCTGGAGAAAATGGTTGGGGGCTGAGAGAGCAGGGGGTGTTGCTGGCTCCAGGTGCCACACCACAGCTGGGAGCAGGGCCAAGGGGTGAAAGCAGGGGTGCCCCTCTGTGGGAGGCTTTGCAGGCAAGCAATGCAGGTTGCAGTGTGGTGGTGCCCGCCATGTGCGGGCCCCACACATGCTGCCCGGCTAGCATCCCAGGGGAGAGGGAGGCTTACATGCGGCCGGCAGCACAGCTCCATGCCCAGCTCTACAGCTGTGGTGAGTGATGGTGGCTGGTGGGGCGGGAGGGGCTTGCATGCAGCGGCCACTGCCACTTACTTGTAGGGCCATACCAGCAGTGACAGCCACTGCCTACAGAACTTCCCTGTGCCGCTGCAAAGCAGTGTCCAGAGCTGTGCAGCCAGCTGCAAGGCAGCAGCGACAGTGTGGCGGTGGCCGGGCGGCATGCAGCCATCCCCACCACCATCCTGTGCTATGCAGTGGCCACGGCCGCCACCACACTGCCGCTCTGCAGCTGGTCACACAGCTCCAGGCACGGCTCCACAGTGGTGCAGGGAGATTCTGTACACAGTGGCTGCTGTCGCTTACCTGTAGGGCTGTGTCAGCTGAGATGGCCGCTGCATACAGAACCCCCACGCACCGCCATGGAGCCATGCCCAGAGCTGTGCAACTGGCCACAAGGTGGCAGCAGCACTGTGGTGGCAGCCGTGGCCACCACATGGCACGGGGTGGGATGCCTGCATGCCGTCCGGCCACCACACTACCACTGCTGCCCTGTGGCCAGCTGTACAGCTCCAGGCATGGCTCTGTGGCAGCACAGGGGGATTTTGTAGGTAGCGGTCGTCGCCACTGGCACAGGCCTACAGGTATGCAGCAGCGGCCATCGCGTG